TCCGTACCTCCTTGTGTGAAGCGAGCGCCGAGCTTCGCATAAGAAGACAGCCTCACATCGAGATCGCCCTCGATCTTTCGAGCTTCTTTCCGGAGCTCCTCCCAACCCGACTCCTGCAACGCGTCCATATCCGGATCCTGAGCAGGCGGATCCGACCCGTTCGGCCAAGGGTTTCTCATCAGATATTGGGAGTGTGGATTGTGAGTGGTGACCTGAATCCAATAGTTGTTACCGTTTGGGGGCGGGTCCGACTGTGCGCCAGTTGTGCTTAACTGCTTTTGCAGTTGAATCAGAAATGCGAGGGTTTGGGATTTTGTGCTTTCAATACTAAGAGCATCTCCAATGGCTCAATGTCTATTTTGAGATGTCTAGTGTGGAGAAAGGAAATATATATATTTTGTCTCCAATAGTTAATCTCAATTGTGAGATAATTTGACACATGTCATATAATAATTGGTTGGTAGAAACATAAATATAAAATAAATAATATAATATAAATAGAAAATGTCTAGAAGTCTTTCTACATCTAGAAAGAGCTCGTTTGTTAGCCCGGACAAGACAAGATTGGGCCTCCAATCTACCCTTTATCCCGCGTTTGTTTACCATGATAAGGGCCCGAGAGATAAGACGCGGCCCGCGATGTACAGTGCTCGAATCCCGCAATGACAAGATAATTAGATCTGGCCGAGGGGGGTATGATTGGGACAAGTCCGCACAGTGTCATGTGGTAAAATGCCTAATATGTCCCTAAAAGTGATTATTTTGTTCAAAACTGCCCTCAGCAGAACAAGAAATTAAAAGTTGCCACTACACATTTCTCCACGCACCTTCTTCTCCACATTCATTGACCTTTTTTGCTGGACTGAGAAGTTCTCGCATCCTTCCCCGCCGGCTTCACTTACGCACTAGATTTCCTTGTGTCATCGCCAGATCAGGTGCAAAACCTACCATTCCTGTCTGATCTTGTCACCTTCATCATATTTGCATGAAGTTTTTTTTTGTATTTTATCGAATTTATTTGCAATTAATTTGTTCATTTTGGGGTTTTTTTTTCTCTTTTTTTTTTAATTGAACGACATGAGATTCGTTGTTTTCTTTGTTTCTTGTATTTGTAAAGCAAGCAAGGTAGCATATGTGAAATTAAATATTTCCGGATCTGAAATTGAATTTCATTGAACCACATGACATTCGTTGTACTGTGTCCCGAGTTATTCATCTTCGTTCAATATTTCTTCAAAAAATTTGCGTGTTTATGTTTTCCCGACGGCACACGTACTACCGGAAATTTGAAAGCGAAGTTTGAAATCGAAGATTATTTTTTCGATTTATGTGGGTGGTACTGCTGTGAAGTGTTAACCTTTGTCGGGTAAAATAATGTCTAAATGGTGGTGCAAATTTCAGGACCGGTTATTATGGAATACATTTTGCCT